AGAATACTAAGATGGGAGGTAACAATTCTGACTCATCTTTTCCAGCCTATTCTATTTTGCTGTCATGTATGCAGATGTCATCCACACACATACAACAAGCAAGCAAAATCATTACCCATAGTACCTCATCTGCTTTCTTATTCCTGTTCTTTTTCCCCTCCTGTAAATAGAAAGTTTCTACTTACAGCAAAGATTTTCATAAAATATGTAACCTCGTCAAGATACACACAGATTTAGATCAGAAGGCTTCCCTCTTCCGGCTACTGGATAAGATACAGGAAAGGGGACCAGTCAGTACTTGCCCCACTCTCCTCCTCCTTACCTCTGTATTTTTCTAAACTAGAAGCTGTATGACTGGTAAAAGATTCTAAGCCTCAGTCTCCAAATCTGTGAAATGGGAGCAGTGACCTCATCTGTCTCCTGGGATTGTGGTGAGGAGGGAAGCAGTGAAAAACACAATGATTATGTCACATAGTCAAAGCTCAATTTTTTTTTGTAACTGCTTTATTGAAATATAATTCACATAGTATGCAATTAACAGATTTAAAGTGTGTCATTCAGTGGTTATTACTATATTCAGAGAGTTGTGCCTCCATCACCACAATCAATTTTAAGACATCTTCCTCACCCCAAAAAGCAGTCACTCTCCATTTTCTCTACCCACCCCCCCAAGCCCCAGTCAACCATGAAAACCTAGTTTCAGTCTCTAAAGATTTGCCTCTCCTGTGCATTTCACATAAATGAAATCACAGAATATGTGGTCTTTTGTGACTGACTTCTTTCACTTAGCATAATGCTCTCAAAGTTTATCCATGTTGTAGGTTATGTCAGTATTCATTTCTTTTTACAGCTGAATACTCTTCTGTTGTATGAATACCCCACACTTTATTCACGTTTCTGATGATGGACATATGGGTTGTTTCTACCTTTCAGCTAATATGCATAATGATGATATGAGCATTTATGTACAAGCTTTATGCTGACACATGTTTTTACTTCTCTTGAGTATACATACCCAGGAGCAGCATGGCTGGATCATATAGTAACTCTGGTTAACCTTCGGAAGAATTGCCAGTTTTCCAAAGTGGACGCACCATCTTACATTCCCACTTGCAGTGTATGGTTCCAGTGTGCGGCATTCTCATCAACATGTATTGTTATCTGTGTTGTTGATTACAGCCACCATAGTGAGTGTGAAGTGACATCTCATCATGGCTTGATATACACTTCCCTAGTGGTTATCAAGGTCCAGTTTGTATCAGTATCCAAAAAATGTCTTCACTGTCATAGGCAGGGCTGAATACTCAAAATATGTAACAACGAGTAAGATATGGGTACCACTGAATCTGAATGGATACTGGCTACAGTGCTGAAGCAAGATCTTGAAGGTGTCATGCTTTACCAGTGGCAATTTTCCAATAGAATGAGTTCTTCCATTCTAGTGGTATGAAAGAATTTCAACATTCTACTGGTGTAGAATCCAGGTGAATACTGCTGGCCTTCAGGTTATCGCTCCAGCAACAGGCTGCTAAAGCAGTTGGCCCCTCTTCCTCTACCAAACGGCTGCTTATCAAAACTTAGAAGAAAATTATATTCTCAATGAAAATATGACATTTTAATCATCTATAAATCAGTTCTTTCCACCTGTTTTTCTGGATGTGTCTTCTTCCTGAATAGAAACAGTCTCAGTTAAAGCAGCCTCTTGTAACTGAATAACCCTAATTATTTGCAGGAAGAAATTTTAGACCAGATGTGATTTAAGACTGATGATCTCACAAAATCTGAAGGAAGCCAAGAGGGACATAAGTCAGGATCTAAGTACTAGCAATATTTCCCCTTTTTCTCTAAAAAATGTGATATTGGGAAAGGGATAGTAATTATTTTAACTCAAAGGGATTATCTAATTCAAAAAGATTATCCAATAAAATTCAAAGAGATTATCTAATTCAAAACCCAAAAATATAATCCAAGCTAACTCAAAGGGATTATCATAGTTTCTAATTCAAAGGGATTATCTAATCTAATTCAATCTAATTCAGAGGGATTATCATTTTTCAGATCTTCTTCACGTTTGATCACATTTACGGACAATGATGTTAATTATCTCTTTCCTAAAATATCCTATTTTAAGATTTAAATTTTTTAATCCCTTTAAAAAATTAAACAGAATAAAATCTACATAAAGCATAAAAAGGAAAATATAAAAAGTCTATAAAGTTTAAAAAATAACAACTTGTTTCCTTATATTTCAATATAAAGCCTCGGGCCTTACAAGATATATTAACATGATTCATTCATCTTCTAAGAAATTTTCCATGTCCCAAGGCTGCACTATGTAATCCATTGTTTTCGTTATTTCTTGGCATTCAGCTAACTATGAAACTGACCGCTGAACTTTCCTATGTCAAATAGAACTTTCCATTGTGGGAAATTTCTAAAGCATTCATATTAAGCTAAGTGGAAATGTCATCATAGTTCAGGAGCAAATATGGTCTGTATCACTGAGTACAATTTCTAAACTAGATTGTACACAGGAAAGGCAAACCATGGAACAAAAACAAGTATAAAGACTTCATTGGCGTTTCTGTGAATATTTGATGGTGAAGAAAATCAGAAGCAGCAATCAGTTTATCAAAGTTACTTGAAAGTTATTCCAAAAAGACCTGAGAGAAGGGCACTTTTTAAATCTGTTCTGTAATGTCTATCCACTGACCCCTTCTTCTGCTAGATTACACGGTGGCCTCATTTCTAGTTCTTGTGAAATCAATAGACCATTTATGTTGCAAGTATCTGTCTAGGTTATGCACTTTCTTATTCAATCTGGTGTTGACAGCAGTAATCAAATTTTACACATACCACTAGCTCTATTATAGCTCAACAGCAACTGGCTGCCAGCCTTGGTCTACTCTCATCAAAACGGAAAGAATGGAGTGGACTGGAGAGAGAATCACAGAACAAACCAGCTGGAACTACAAGAGGTGGTGTGGAAGTGAGAGAAGGGAGCAGAGGCATTCGACACTGAGCCTCCTTCCACTGGGGAGACACGCGCCAGGCACATCAGCACAGCCGAGCCCAGGTCAGCCAACCTTGACTATTAAAGGCAGGCATTTTCTTCATTCTCTCTGCTATCTGCAAACCCTCTGGGCTTTGAAACCTTGTTACAACTGTCAGTCCTAAACTACTGCACCTACACCTACGCCTTTAGAGCAGCAGATAAAAGCCAGAGGGAAGCCACACCCTCCAACACCAGGGAGACCAAATGTCAGGGAACACAAGTTACAGCCCTGCCCATGAACTGTCCAGACACAACCGGCTTCATTTTGTGACTCTTCTGTATGTGCTTAAGGTAGGATCAAACCTTTATCTCAGATCAAAAAATGTTTAATTAGTTTTCTTCTGTAAAAACAAAGTCAGCCTTAAAAAAAAAATAGGGGAGGGGTGGAGACCTGACTTTGAAATTCTATTCAACTTCTATTTTTAGAGTTCAAAATCTCTAAGAAAACTAGACTCCTGCTAACAGACACCCTCTACTTAAAGGGAGCATAGACGATGCCATTTCTTGGTTTAACAAGCAACTCTTTTCTTCATTTTCATAAATTTGAAATCATTTTAGATTTACCCAAAAAGTTGTAAAAATCATACACATAGTTTTCATATTCCCTCCACCCAGCTTCCCCAAATGTTACCATCTTACGTAACCAGAGTACAATCCTCAAAACCAGAGAACTAGCACTGATGCAATACAATGAACTACTCTATGGATCTCATCCAAATTTCACCAGTTGTTCCCTTTTTCTGGTTCGTGATTCGATCCCAGATCTTGCACACAGGCAACATGTCAAAAATGCATCCTTTCAATAAAGCATTGCACTATCTAATGGATGTTTCTGTCTGACCCCTCCCCCACCCCCCCAAAATGTTCTGTTTCCTCTCAGGATGATGAGGGAGTGTCATCATCACCACTGAGTGTTCCAGGCTAGAAATGTTCTTCCCTCCACAATTCTCTTCATACCTAACCTGTGAGTCTTATCAACCTTATCTTGTAAGCAGAGTTTACAATAAAGTTTCACAATCCGTTGTCCAAAACCTTAGGCCAGATGTGTTGCCAAATCAGAACTTTTCCAATTTGAGAAAAGCTATAAAGCACATAGGCTACATCTTACATTAAAACATAAACAGAGAGATCCAGGGCAATTTCCTCTAATCAAACAACACACTAATACTTCTTCAAAAAATATGTATATTTTATGAGGTGAGTAGGATAAGTAAAGATTTTTAAAAGCATCTCAACACTTAGGTCCAATTTTGCCACCAAATGAGCTCAAGCTCAGGCTTTACTGTCAAATGAATTACAAAGAAAATACCTTTCAGTTTTCAGAGCTCTTTTTAGCTATTATAACTGCAAATGAGGGGCTGTGGATCTATACCTACAAAATCCATGGCCTCATCCATCTCCCACCCACCTTCACACCACTTTTCACTGGGTCTCCTGGAGTAGCACTCCCAATGCTGCCTCTTCCTCCAGGCTCTCTTCATTCCAATGCACCCTCCCACAGAGTCCCCAGAGTGATCTTTCTAAATCACCTGCAACCATCTAGCTTCAAAATCCTTCAAGATTTCCCACGCAAGGAAGAGGGTGGGAGTCAAATCTTCTTCATGATATTTACATGGCTCTCCACCACCTGAGCCAGCTCCTCTGACCGTACAGACCATTCTACAGTGTTGCACCCAAGAAGAATACAAACATGAAAAAGGCATGGTCTCTGTCCTCAAGATGCTCACAATCTATTTCAATCTCTGGAATATCTTCATCTAAGTGAAAAATATAGAATATAGCTTCCCCAAGAATCAAAGAAAACATTGGACTCTTTTAACTCAATTTTTTTCTAGCTGGGAAATTCTACCTTAGCTCTTGATCATGTTAAAGATTACTAACAAAATACCACGTTGACATGAAAAGGAGTTTTCACATGATTTGAGCAACATATGTCTAAAAATACTCGCTACACTACCGTTGGCATGGTTAAAACAGCTACGAAGAGCAAACGCCAGGAAAACTTTTCTAAAAACAAGCAAACCCAAAAAAGTAACGTCAGGGATGGCATTTAATGGACCAAGTGATTTCTCATGAGATTGCTTTTCCAAAGCATAAAGACAGAAATAAAGCCTGAAACCATGCCTTTGTTTCCATGTTCATATACTCATGCAATTGAATGACATTATAACCAACAAAATTATGTTAGAAAAAGTCAAACAAAAATCCCCACCTTTGAAGAGTTCAGAAGTTATCCCCAAACAGAGGCTGACCTCCAATGCACATTTTAAGAAACATGCCAGTGGAAGAGGAAAGAAATCATTTTTTTTCACCCTCTTTTTTTTTTTAATTTTTTTTGAGGAGGTACTGGGGATTGAACCCAGGACATCCTGCATGCCAAGCATGCGCTATACCACTTGAGCTATACCCTCCCTACAGGAAATCATATTTTTAAGTATTACTAGTTTTATTTTCTAATGTGCAAAACAGTCAAAGGCACCTACTTGGAATGATGAATTAAAAGAAAAATTCCTGGAAGTTGTACTTCAAGATAAAATTACAACCTTTCTTACAATTATCTCAGGAAAACTGCACAAAAGCAGTGAGAATAAGAGGTAAAGAATAATACCACCAAATCCCTTAATGAGGCGGGTAGAGACAGGTAGGAGGTATACACATGCTCTCCCAGGGCAGCTCTCCTCTCACAGGAGAGAGAGAGAGAGAGAGAGAGAGAGAGAGAGGAGGAGGGAGAGAGAGAGTGTGTTCTCACTGGCAGTGTTGCGTTCAAACAGAAGTGACAACTGCCTGGACTGAGGTGAGGTACCTGCTGGCTGACAGCGATCTATGGTACAACAGGCCAGCACTGCAGGGATGCTAAGTGGTACCACAGCTCTCTGAAAGCCACGATCCAATCTGCCAGGTCCCCCAGTGGAACCCTGCAGTGCTCCTAAAGCAGGGGTCCCTGGGACAGCCACACACACTGCAAACGTCTCACTCTGGCAGAAGGAAGGAAAGGTTATCACCATGGTTCGTCAGAAAGCAAGAAGAGTTATTTAAGAAGACGCTAAAAGAGAGGAATAAAACTCAAATGCTTTAAAAGGAAAGAGGAGTTTCAAAACATCAAAAAGGAAAGAGAAAGGAGGGGGAGGGTATAGCTCAGTGGTAGAGTGCGTGCTTAGCCAAATATTTTTTTAAGAAAAGAGAAAGGGAATGACTTTCCTGAATTTTCTACATGTTCTGTTTTTTGTCAACCAGGTGAAAAATAAATGCTCTCCTTTCTCCTTTACTTTTGTACTGCCATCCTTTTTAGCACAGTGCCTGGCACACTATAAGGACATAATAAATAAGCACTCACTGAAAGTAGGGACATGAGCTGATGTGGAAGACATCGGAGCCAAAGAAACAGGTGACCAGACAGCGAGAGGATCCCTGGGCACACCTCACACCCAAGGAGCACAGCTCACAGAACCAGCCCACCAGGTGCTGCAGGGGGGCGGCACGGTCTACAACAGCAGCAAAATCAAAAATTGCATTTTTGGGGAGACTCAGCTCTGGGGCTGACCCCATCTCTGCAGAGAGGGACGAAAGAGCTGTGAATAAGTGAGCAGGGTGTTTTCCAGGAATATAAAAGAAGGATTAATCTGGAAATAAAATCTGTAAAAGTAGAGGCAATCGCATTGGCAACTGGCTGGACTGTAAAGCAAAGATCAGCCAGTGAGTTTTCTTAGAGAACATCTGCTGTCACTGTGAGGAAAAGTTCCCTGGGCTTAGAAGGTTCCAGAACCCTCCAGCTTCATGGGAAGCTGTGAAGAACGGCAGCATGGGGATTATTCTTTGCTGTTAGCAGTAACAACATCTAGTAGAAAGGGTCCTACAAGAGACAACAGCCTGTGAATCCAGATGTGTCACTCATAACACTTTGTCCCTGGGTCACCTGCACTGACAGACTCATTCCAATGTTTCCTATGGAGCTCGGAGGCCCTTGTGCAAATCTGAGGGTGCTGGGCACTGGGAAGATACGGGTATTAACTTGTGTGAGTCATCTGTATAATCAGCCTACAGCTGATACTAGTCAAAGATAGTCCTGTCTAAGCATGGGCACACCCACCTGACTCCCATGTGTCATACCTCTCGCCTTGGGAATGAAACAGAATCATCTGCTTGTGACAACTTAGGGCTGAGAGTGGGGAGAAAATGAAGGGTCCAGATACAACGAGGCAGAACTGACCTCGAGGATTTTAAATCAATTCCAGGATTTCTAGGATGATCCAGTTTCCAAGAGGCAACCAGGTGAGGAACAGAGAATGCAACTAAGGGTTATCACTCAAGAATTTATGAGCCATGGGCCTCAGGAACAAGATCCCTGGGCCTTAGGCCCATGGGAGCCAGTCAGAGAACTGATTTGTTTACGGAGCGCCTGCTCTGTCCCATGCAGTGCGGAGGAGAACTGGTTCCCAGGCCAGGCAAAGTGAGGCAACACCAGCACTACAGAGGGAGTGTGGGGTGCTGGCGATCACGGCCTCAGAGATCAGCCCCTGGGACAGGCCTGGGCCTGTGAAAAGGGGAAAGGAGAGGCCAGAGGCTGATAAGCAAGGTGGAAGTGAACACGACGGGGACAAGAAATGCACAAACAACCTATCATTAAATTATTCTAAGAAGTCACAGAGAACAGGGAGGAAGGGGGGAGGGTGTAACTTGGAAACAATACCAGAAGCTCCTAAAGAGAAAACTGTGATCCAGAAAGAAGAGGAAAGCAAAGCTGGGCCCTCTTAATCCAAGGCAGTCCCTGACGGTGAGCAAGCTGTCCCCGAGTTTGCAGGTTGGGACAATTTATGCGTTGTTTCACACAAAGCTCCACGTCCCATACAGTTTTTCTCCTCCAGAGAACGTCCATGAGTAAATCCATCTATAAAAGTATAAATAAAGCAAATAGAACACACTTAGTTTTAAATTAGGAACCTTGCACTAAAATAACTTCCCGGAGGCTGCTAATTCAGTAGAGGGCTGGAACTACCAGTGTTTCTATTGGAACATCAGGATGTAATTTGGTCAGTAAAAATGGACTAATTTTAGGGACCTCTGAACTGCAAAGTTCTTCCACATTTATTTTCATTGCTGTTTGCAAAATTCTTACAAGTTAAGCTGTGTCAATATCTCAACTTCCATTCGAAAAACGAGGTAACTTAGGTTTCACGACACCACGTAAAACTCCACATGCATGCCGTGGGCGTTCCTAACCTCAGAACCAACTCCCAGCCCCAAAGTCTTTCCTTTCACCCTATCATGGGCCTTCTAGAAACAGCCCCCTGGCTGTCAACAGCACTGCCTGAACCAATATGAAGCCCGGAGGTTTCAAAGCTATTTTTCTGAAAGAAAAGAATCCTCTATAATACTTCCTCTCTTCCTCAAAGTCACAGCCAAAGACCATACGAAACCAAGAGGAAATGCATGTTCCTCAACAGCAGTGAAGTCCCAGGTATCAGGTAGCCGTCGCAGCTGCTGAAGGCCGGCCCCACCCCACCCGCAGTCCCAAACTGGCACAAACGCAAGCTTGAGAATCTTGAGGCCACTCAGACTGAGTCTTCCGGCAACAGAATGGCCAAAGGCCCCAACACCTCTGCTCCCAGAGGGCATCAAAGTCGTAGCCCCGAAGGACCCAAGTGGCTACTCTTCACAGGAGTGACCGAACTGAGCCCCCACCCCCCGCCACCGGAAGGAGGGGGGAGGAAGAGGACACGAAAGCAAGAGACTCGAGGTTCTGGATTTCGCGTTCAAGAATAGCCAGCAACAGGTGCAGCGTTCCGGCGAAACGGACTCTCCCAACGCCACTCGGGCTCCGCGGCACAAAGCGCCGGAGCCCAGAAACCTAACATTAGCAGTGCTGTCAGAAGTGCAAACCATCATCATTTTCTAGCCAGGAGCAATTTTGAAATAAAAAAAAAAAACCTTAACAGACCACAAAATATTTCTCTGCTGACACAGGACTTCCTTCACATTGCCCTCTCCTGCAACAATTTACTCTAAACTATTTTAAACGTTGGTCATAATAAAACATTTTTTAGTGCCTACTGACTACTGTCGTGCCTCGGACAGAGTAGGCAATATTCGCCTATTGAATATTTACTGAATGAATCAATGAAACAAACAAGTAATCAAAAAATTGCCTTCACAAGCAGAAGGTTACCAAAATCTTGCCTTCAAAATAGTACGTTAAGTGTATTTTTCCCCATTTCTCCAAGAAGGGAACAAAAGGTTGGAATCAGAAGCCAAGAGCAACAGACACCACTAATGAACATGTCAGGAGACGCCAACCACCCACCCCCTGGCTGAAGCTGAGAAGCCGTGTCTGCCGCCCCTTGGGATTAACAGATGTACGCAGGGAATTCTCATCTGGAGAAGACCAAAGAGGAAAAACAATCATAACCATGTGAACACTCCACTGTGAGAGCTTCCCTTCATTCAGTACGCCATTTCACGTAACATTTTCTCCCTGCCGTTACTACAGAATTTACAAAATAAATTTTGTTGTATAATCTTTTCAATATGATGAAAACAACCTGCTGATACTATATTATGGAAAATGTCTTATGCTACATATGATATGTATAAGAAAAATATGAGTGTGGCTAAGAAGAACTAGAAATGAAGGCATTTTGTGAGCTATAAAAACTGACAGAAGTGGAGAAAAATGGCAATGAAATTGAGCTCACAGATGGCGAATGTCTTTCATATGAAGATGGTATTAAAAAAATAGTAATTACAGTATGAGACCATCACTGATTTATATAAGATGAGGGACTTAAATAATCATAATGATATTAATTATAAAAACAAGCTTTCTGAGCATAGATAAGAATAAATCATCAAAATTCGAAGGGCATGTCAGAAAACTAAGCAGTACAAATAAAAATGTAGTGTAATAAATAATTTTATAAAATCACTATAAACAATGACTTGATTTAATGATACGTTTCAATTATCTTTAAATTCATGGATTTCTCTTTTGTTTATAGC